AGTGCCTGCGGGCTGCTTTTGTGGCTGTGCTGATAGTGAGTGAGTGCTTACTGCCAGCGGCGACCATTATGTTTATGTATGTGTAGAGTGACTGGCTTTATGTGCATGTAGAGTGACTGGCTTTACACTAAAAATATTTTTTAGTGTAAAAGTGTGACCCCAAGATGTGAGTTCTGGCACTTTTTTTTTTTTTTTTTTACAAAGAAAGCACTGCTTATCAGTCATACCAGAGTACAAGGCATGGAATAATGGGCTCAAGTTACAGGAAGGCAAATTCTGACTGGACATCAGGACAAACCTCCTAACTCTTAGAGCAGTGCAGCAATGAAACCAATTCCCTAGGGAGGTTGTGGGCTCTGCCACACTGGAGGCATCCAAGAAATCAGTTGGACAGCCATCTCTCAGGAAAGCTTTAACTTGGAGTCCTGCATTAGGCAGGAGGTTTTCCTTTATGATCTTACTAGCTCCTTCCAGTTTTCTATGATTCTATGAACTGGCCATGGAACAGTCTCAAGAGGAGTTTTTTCTGCTGCTGAAATGCATCCCACCTATAAAACTTCTTACATTCAATTAAATGGAAACAGGGATGGGGAAGGAAAAGCAGACCACCTCCGTTTCTATTTTTAATGATCTGACATAAGATTTGTCAGTACTCAGATCCTAAACTTTGATCCAATTCAGGAACAAAGTGTATCATTTTCTTTAACAATAAAAAGATTTGTTTATTAAAAAAAACTAAATATAAGAATACCTACAAAGTCTACGAGTAAAATATATTTAATATTACAAATTCTCATTTGTAGATTCTAAACTGATTTTGCATAAATTTTGCTTTTCTATTACAGAATAATCAGATTAATTAATAATTGTGGAGATGAATAGGTATGCCAAAATCACATAAGACTGCAATTCTAATATTCCAAGTTCATGTTTGTTATAATACTATTTAGAGTAACATTAGAGATGAATTTGATCTGGGTAGGAAAATAACATAGGTTGTCTTTCATCCATGCATCCCTTTGCTATTTCCTATTTCCTTGAACAAGTTTAATAAAATAGTACTTAAAGTTCCATTCTCCCAGAAAAGACTGATATAAAATAATTTATTTCCTGTCACATGATCCATGGAGCAGTACAGACAGAACTACAGTCATATACTGTACATTCTTTTCTTTTCCAGCGGTGCCACATCAAGTTGTCGTGGTTCATTTATGGACATTATAGGACGTATGCCACAGGGACTTGCAAACCTAGTGTCACAGAACCCTAACATAGACCAGCTCTCTTTTTAAACCCCTTGCTTTATTTGCGTCTGGGCTGGATTTCACTCCTGACTTGTCTAATTTATTTAGTCAAATGTGAGTACACTCAGTGGTATTTTAGGCCAATTCAAGTCAAGCTGGAAAATTAATTCCTGCCATACTATCCCTATTCTGAAGCCACTTCACAGTACATGGCAGGTTTCCTGCCTGTGTGAGCCACGGTTGCCAGACAAGTAGGGTTTTCATGTGCATAACATTATGTTGCTGTTCTTAGGCTTAATTCTCACTGAGCTTTGGGCTATGCCACTTGAGTCCAAGAATGCTCTGCTATTGCAGGGGACGGGAGGGAATCCCTGTACACAGCAAAGTAGTACGTTGGGTGGAAAGTTATCTAGAAGCATCAATGTGCAGCGATGCGTGCTCCTATTTTGTATGAGAGAGCATTCAGTCATGTGACTGAATGCTTAGCCGGACTGTGAAGTGGGGCAGCCCAGACCTAAGTTGAGCACATCAGTGAGGACTAGTAAGTAGCACCATGCAGACTTCCATGATGTCTTGACCCACACTTTTATGTCAGCATTTAAGGAATTCCTTTATGCAGTCGAATCTTTGGTTTCTAACAATGTGAACCAAGAGTGCCCTCTTGTGGTAAGAATGAGCAACAACATGTTTGGTGGCCAATAACTCACAAAACAGGGTGGGGCAGTGTGGCCTTTCAGACATTGTCAGCATACCAGTGAGCACAGATGGGAATTGTAGTCCAGCATCATCTGGAGGGCCACACCTCTCCAAGCACTTTGTAAAAAAAGCATAAAGTGGTGTGACAAAGACTTTTTTTCCCTAAGAATGTACACATTTCATTTGTTGCACTGTCCTGAAATGCACACAGTCCGCTTCTTGGAGAGAAATGCAGGATGAGTGCAGTGTGCATGCCACAAATAACCTTTCACAGAGAAAAACCATCAACATGCCAAAAACCTTCTTCTGTCCTTCCTCTAGTGATGCCAGTCAGAAAGGAACTGGGAAAATGGTGGGAACTAGGAAAATCTTCTGGACAAGAGGCCCCACACAGGTGCAGAGCCCATTGGTGTGATGCACAGAGAGCACAAAGAGGAACTTTCCAATCACAAAAGGCAAAATTTTTAATAAAATGCAGGCAAAGTTGGTCTCTGTTCATCTCATATTTCAGCTGTTTACTGAGAACCCAAAGAGTTTCATACAAGGGGAAAGACATAGGTGCATCATTCTCTATATCAGTTCTCCTTTCAAGGAAGGGAACACCTGAATACACTCCTCATGGGATAACAATTTCTCGTATCTTAATTCTGTGAACACATATCTGCCACTCCAGAGAAAGGGAATCCAGCAGTTTATTTAGCTCTAGTGGAGTGCCTTATCCTGCCATTCAGAGTCATGCAGCCAGTTTCATTCCACTTGTGGTTCCAGCCCTTTTTCATACTCCTCTGTATTTCTTGACTTTGCTCCTAGGTCTTGTTCACCTACACTCACTTATAAAAGAGCCTCCTAGGGTCCATCAGCTGTCTGGTTCTTGGCTAGCCTTCTATACAGAACTACAGCTAGGTGTCTGCCTTTTCATTTCCAGAGTTCATAGCTTTGGGGGCTCTAGCATCCATTACTACATCTGAAACTTCACAAGGTGGGAGGATTTAGGAACATTTTTCCCACACCACTTGCTTCTGCAAGATTCTGACCTAGCCACTTAAATTCAAGTCATCATAGCCTCAAGGCTAGACTTTCCACTAGACTGCCCTTCATAATTTTTTCAGATGCTGCAGTTGCAGCAGAATGCAAAATTAATACAGAATACATATTACTTCAGTGCTCCAACTTCTGGGCACAGCTGAGGCTGCTGGTAAAGTATTAAATGATCTGATATGGCTTATTTTATGCCCAAGCCATCTGTATTCCAGTGTTTACAACCGGTTTTATGGATACTGCGTTGATATAGAAGGTTTTCCTAATGGATACAAGCCAAAGTCTGGACCTGTAGTAAGACTTCTTTGTCTTGTCTTTTCATGGGGAGAGGAGATGATATTCACAGCTGAAATCTATTTTCTATGAGGAGACTGGAAGGGAACACTGTCAGTCACAGATGTTCTACCGGACATGACCGTTGGAGATATTCTACCCCCTGCGCTCTGAATTCTCCCTGAGGAATGTACAGGCCTTTTAAGGATGAGCTGGGATTTTTTTTTTTTCTTTTCTCAAGTAGAAAGGGAAAATGGCTGTGAACTCAGGACCAGATACCTTGCTATAAGCATGATAGAGTGGTAAAACTGATGTAAACTCTGTGTTGGACTGCAGCAACAGAGATTTATAAAACAAACAAAATCCTATGCTAGGAGTTATAGGACCTTTTCCATCTAAATATGCAAAGGAGTGTGCCCTCCGTGTTTTACAGGCAAGACTTTCATTATGTGCAGTCTGCCATTATCATTATTGCATTGCATTTATATCCCACTTTTTTCCACTTGTGAGGAACCCATGGTAGCTTGCATAGCTCTATTCGTACCCTCAGAGCATCATTCCTGTGAGATGGGTTAGGCTGAGAGTGAGCACTGGCCCAAAGTCACCCAGTGAGCATCATGGCCACAGGGGAACTAGGTCCCCAGTGCAAGCCTCTAACTACTATACCATACAAGCTCAGTGTTCCTCTCTGTCTGTTTTCCTGCAAGAGGACCTTTGTTTTTCATTGCTTTGACTTTTTGAAAAGGTGCTTGTCTTTCCATCCTTGCCCAAAGTTTTAGCTGGGCTATTCACTTTGTTTTCATATTGCTTTTAAAGCACCTGATCAAACATTTTAAACAGCGGTTTGATTAAACATTTGTTTTCTGCTTTATACTTTATGTCCCACCTCCTCCTTTTTTAGACTTTGACATCTACTTTGATAGGAGAAGGTGATTTTGTGATAGACACAAGGAACAGCCGATCAGTGCTGCTCCAACAAATTGTCAGACTCCTTGTCTTTCCAAGCTCAGGTAGAACTTTTTGAAGGAGGAGAATTTGGATTCTCCCCCCAAAAAAGACATGGGAAGTCTGAGGAGTCCTGTTGTAGGAATGCCCTGCCTGCTATCAGTTCTTTTTCTCACTGTTCAGTTCTCCAAAGCACAGGTGGCAACAGACCAGGTGGGATGCTGGGAATCATTGGACTGGCTGCCTGGCTGCCAGAAGATCCCCAGGAGAAAGGTCTGCATGAGAGCAGAAAGACCCAGCTGTAGTCACAGAAAAAGCAGACTCAGCTGCAAGTGAGGAATCAGGGCTGGCAAGTATGTACTGGCATATAAGGTGACTCGCATATAAGACGACATCAATATTTTGGGCTATTTATACATGTTGGGCATATAAGACAGCCCTCAATTTTTGCTTTGCTATTTTTGGTTTCAAGGGTCATCTTATACTCCAGTATATATGGGAAGTCTCTTTGCTGGGTTAACATTTCTCAGAACTTCCTGTGTGCTCAGGACAGGGAGTTATGTGCTGATCGGGCCAGCAAATGCAAGCGTGAATTCTGCTTCCACAAGAAAAGCAGATGCATCACCCACCTCCCATCAAGTTCATAAATGTAGAAAGATAAGTATGTGCATCAGAAATACAGAGATCTTGGCTGTCCAATAGTCTGACTGCTGAAATTATGCCCACCTCTATGCCCTCCCAGTTTATCTTTGCTAAGGAGAGCTAAGAAGAGGAAAGAATCAGTATTGTTGCTTTACTGCCTACCTTTTCCTGAAGGGAAGAAGCAGTCCATCTCCACGCTACTCCGGGAATGGGAAATGCAAAGTGCACTGCTGGGGACCAGGCCTTCCTGAGGAGGACTCCGCTCTGTGGTCCGCACCAGGCACCAGCCTGGCCTTTCGCTCGGCCTTTCTAGTAGCTCCACAGTTTGTCCCACCTGGATACTCAGCTCACTACTGTGGCTGGCAATAAAATCTTGTAGCACCACGGTGAGTTCACATCCTCCAGACAGCTGTGGGGGGAGGGGAATTGGGAGTGGAAAACACAGGAGAGTCACTTCTCACAGGAAATAATGGTAATTGGTATTGTTGCATTAGACCGCAATAACCCCAATCTTGGCTCCATTTTACTGTGCCCATTGTGACTCTTAGGAATCTTTGGGCACAGTACTCGGCATGTTTAGTCTAAAACAAAACAAAACAAAAAGTACTCTGCATTTTTAGACAAAAAAGACATTTTTAGACAAAAAGATTGTACCACTCCCAGCATTCACCAATCACACTTTTTCTTACTAAACATGTGGATGACAGCAGCCTTAACAAATTACTTTCTCAATAAAAACTGGTCTGCTATAGCTTGCTCTCTTACTTTGCACATCCTAGAATCTCTAGGTTCTACCTCAACGGATCACTTGTTTTTCAAAAGTTCAGTGATGGCTCTGCCTGAAGCATAGGCAGACTGAGGGACAAAGTAGGTGCAACATGGGAATGCTGTGCTCAGGACCTCAGAGTTTTAAAAAACCCAACCAACAACCCCCCCACCCCACACACACACACAATATTATATAACAGTTATGGGAAGATCCAGCTGTGACTGTAGCATGGGCACGTGATGCCAGCCCTTCCCTCATTCATCCACATGGTTTTCCCAGTCAGCTGTGCTCTGCAGCTGCTCTTTGCCCTGCGAGCAAATGCTTGGAGGTGTCATAGAAAGACCTGTGCATTTCATCCTGGGGCTCAGATAGCAACTCTGAGGGGAGCACAGAATGAGGGGAGAAAGGGTTCGCTCACCCTCCCGCAGAACTGTTGCCCTGACTGGGTTTGCAACATAAACATAAACCTATTAATACACACACACAAAAGTCTATCCATTTTCATGGTTTTTAAGCACAAAGAGATGATAATGGACTTCACGTATCAGATACAGTTTGGTTTTAAAAGTTAGTGGAAGGGCTTACAGTGCTATTTGTTAAAGCCAAGCAGGCTTCTTAATCTGTCCACTAGTCCGATGGAAGACTATAAGGAACAAAAGTGTCTTGCTGAAAAACTATGCCTGGAGAAGCCCTTTGTCTGTGATTATGCAGCTGTTACCAAGACAGCCATTACCTTGGGTTATGATTTATGCCTGCATAATTTACCTTCAAGAGTCCATCACTTTCTGTTTCCTGGAAAAGGACAGTTTATTACAGGATCACTAGTTTTAAAGTGATGGAGCTTATGAAGCATCTTCTACTTCCCTTGGGAGAGAGACAATGATTATTATCATCACTGTTAGCTAAAGACTGCCATCAGCGTAAATGGTGCATTACAGAATTAATAAAGCAGACACTTACATCAAGAGTTTACCATCCAGGAATGAGGTAAAGGGATAAAAGAGCAGAGCAGCACTGGAAAAAGCAAGTTGAGAAACACAACTACTGACACAAATAATCTGTCCAAGACTATCTGTGACTGTAATACAGGTAATGGTAAGAGGATAATTATGTATGTTAATGATTCAATGTTTTGTTCCACCCCCTCCTCATCTTTCGAACAGAACAGAACATTGATCCCAATCTGCCAACAGACTCACTAAGTGCAGAGTTTTCTACACCATAGACACTCATGCTCTTGCTGCTTCCCTCTAGAGTCAGCATATAGCCCCTCCTAGCCCTCCATTGACTAGTAACACAATTGTTGTACAGCTGTGAGGCATGTGGAATTTCCAAGAGATACAAAAAAACTGTTTCCTGATCTATCTTCATCCGAGGGTGTTTCTTCTTTCATTCAGTGAAATTGTCTGCCAAACTGCCCTTGGAATCAGTGCAGAGCACAATCTTTTGTGGTCTATCGATGCACAAACCTAATCTGCAACACTCGTTAGCATCCAGGTTTGGTTCTGTAGGTTTTACAGCTTCACAGGTTCCTCTACTGTTGGAAGCAGTTATTGAGGCTGATAATGACTCACAGTCCTTAATTTAGGGTTGGGATGAACCCTGCCAGTCCTGCAAAGCGAGCCACAGCAAGAACAAATGCTTGTGGAGCCCCAGCTGGGCCACCAGCAGCATCTCATCAGGCAAAGCTGCTCAAAGAATGGATGCAGGATGCGGAAGAGGGATGTTGTGAGAGGACCTGCCAGGCACCGTTCCTGACAACCAGTCTTTTCCCCTGTCTGGCACAGCCAGCTGTGGTGGCATCAGGTGCGCAAACGGGCACGGACTGCACAGCATGTGGGGCTCAATTCCTGGCAAGCACCCCATGAATATGGGGAGCACTTGCCAGGAGCTTGGCCTCAGAGCCAGAGCAAAGCAGACCGGAGTCCAGGGACTGATTGTCATTCACAAAAGGATCCTTTGCACATCCCTAACCTAATCTTTACTGACGCATATGTCCTTTTAAATTACCTGTTGGCTTCCTAGCAGTTAACATACGGCAAACAGAAAAGGATTTTCTGTGTCCTTTGGTAGCTAATAGACTAATATTTCAATGTAGGGAGGATAAATGCTTGCCTCCTCTAATGCATTGGAACAAGAACCTAATGACACATTCAGCATTTGAACAGTTGGGGTATAGTTGCCACTCTCAGATATATACATATACATATGCATATTAAATGCATATTTGATCTGCTCTCCTTAAAGCTTATGTATAACTCATATATTCAAATTTATGTACATATACACATATAGTATTTTAAATCCTTATGGTTTTGCTTTATTGAAATGATGGATAATTAAGTATTTTGAGGAAAAATAGAATCATACATTTATATTTTGAGAAAAATATGTTGAAACATACATATTCTAATTTATATATGTATTTGAATATGCATTTTCATGAAGCTTTAAAAAATACCTGCAGATTAACATGAAAATCTGTACATCTTATGAGCAGAGGCAAAAATGATGAGGCTAGAAATAGTTTATTTGAATCTTCCATACAGAGTACAGCAAAAAATTGTAATGCATTATAAAAGCCTTCATGCGCCTAGACTCAGCCAATTAGCTTTAGCGCTCTCTCTCTCTCTCTCTCTCTCTCTCTCATCCCATCTTTCTACTAAAATTAGTGTTCAAAGCAGAAAGCAACAATGCAGATAAAATATTACATTATGTAAACATCCACACTGGTCAAACACATTTGAAAAAAAACAGTAAGAAAGAAGCATCTATCACTTAACAGCTCTTTCAGTAAACAAATCAGCTTAACTAAAACAATCAAACTTGTCTCTAATAGTGGCAGGACAGAAGATCTTTTAAATAGTTTTGTTAAAAAACACATTTCTTAATGTAGATTCTTAAAATGTTTCTAAACATATTTTATTATAAAATGTAAATGTACTTGCCTGTTTGTTTTTAATTTCTCTGAGAATTTTAAAATGAGATAGGTATACAATGGAGAATGTAGTCTTCCAAATATCCTGGCCCAAGTCATGCAGCATTTCCCAGATCATAACCAACACTGAATTTTGCCCAGAAACAAACCAGTGGAATTGTTGCAAAAATGGGACCACATGCTCCCTATAACTGGTCCCATCAACAGTCCGGCTGCAGCATTCTGGACCAGCTGAAGTTTCTGAACATTTTTCAAGGGCAGCTCTATAAAGAGCACATTACAATAATCTAAACCAGGGGTCTCAAACTCACGGCCCGTGGGCCAATTGCCGGGATGGGTGGGGCACGGGGAAGGGGCCCTGAGGCCTTCAAAGTGCCAGCGGGACCCGGGCCGGCCTCCAGGAGCGACGCGGGATGAGCGGCCCACCCCCACCGCAGCGGTGGAATACTTGATGCGGCCCAGCCTCACCCAGACTCTACTTCCAGCGGCTCCCAGGTAAGTTGAGTTTGAGACCCCTGATCTAGTCCATTATGAATCCCACACACAGTAGCAGCTAAAAGTTACATTTTTGAAGGCTCCGTAGTACTTTCATGGTCCTAGATTCTTCTTGTTGTTTATGGCTTGCTTAGATTAAAATTGCTTAGATATATATGTATGTGTGCTGTCTGTTTTTGTTATTTGTAAATGGTTTTATGAGATTGTGTTGTTGATGTTTTTAATCTTTATAAAGCACCCTCAGAAATTTGGCTATTGGGTGGTACAGAAATGTAATACATGAAAAGAAATGGTAAAACTATCATGACTCAGTCAGAGGATTTCAACCTGATACAAATATTGTGACTTCCTGGACATAAGTTAGAGCCATGATGTCATGAATTAGGCTTATGATATATGGATAATGCAATTATTTCATTTAAAAAGTTGGAAGAATTTGGCTTAAGTTTTAAATCAACCAAAACAAGGCAGAGTGCTTGCAAGGCAAAGGACAGCCACTAGGGGTCCACGTTTGTTACTTTATGACAAAATGGGTGCCAGCGTGAAGCCACTTTATTCTGATTAGATGGCAGGAGCAGAGAGAAAGGGAGGACATGGGCTATGTTCAGTGTGATATCACTGGTATCCAACAGCATCAAATGAAACCAGCATTTATCCAGAAGTCAGAACCCACCTGTCCTTAACAGTTATAGGGCTGCAAGATATTATAAAGGGAGAGTCTCCAGATACTTCATGTAACTTTTAGAAAAGACAGCAATTTCCATTGTTAGAAAGATTCATGAAATAAAGGCAAAGTACTCCTTTCCTACTGAAGAATAAGCCCAGTCAGGTGGCAGAATTCCTACAAATCCGTACGACCAAAATTGCACGAAGAGTTTAGCATCCCCCTTTCTATTACAAACACAAATATGCTACAGTTTTATTAGAATTCTGAAAATTACAGAGGGGTTTCTGTTCTTGTCGTAAAAACAAAGTAATTCTTGCTTATAGATATGGAGAAAGCCTTGAAGAAACAGAAGCAGTGTCTGCTAAAAGCTCAGAAGGTATTCTGGAATTGAGCAAGACCTCTGTTGACCGTACATTGTACAAGATTTTGGGCACTGAACAAGATTCCCACCTACTAGTTAAAGTGCTTGGTATTTTACTGATTTCTGGATTCCCCAGTGCTTTCCTGGGAAATAACTTTCAGACAAGAAGCAGTACAGTA